AGCCGTCATTGTTGTTTGGCAGGCCCAGGCTGGATTCAAACCTGCCAGCTCAGGTGTATGTGGCTGGTGCCTTAGCCACTTGAGCCACAGACATTGAGCTGGAATGTTCTATTTTAAGCCTACTTTTCATGTTTCCAATATCAGTAAAGACATAGTGATAACAGTAATAGCAGCCAAAACTTAAATATTGTTTACCACCCGCTGAGTATTATTCTAAATATATTTGAGATAAATTAAATCATCTAATCCTTACAAAACTACAGCACACATACTCTTACTATCTCAAAGATGACTAAAGGAGGAGAACTGTCAACTTGTACACATTCACACAGCTGATAAACAGCAATGCCAGAGAGTGACAAGCAGCACCTGAGTGGGGATCGGGCTTGGAAGATCAAGTTTAACCAGAGGGCCAATGATTCATCTAAAGTTCAGCAGGGAAATAATATGAAAGCCTGTATTTTTGGAGAAGCCAAAACTCCAGAGTATCAGCTGAAATTCTAGATGTGTCAATGTTGACAGCTAATTCAATTTTTATGGAAACAGTGTGGGCTAAAAAATATTTGATATAAACAAAACATTTCTGTTATCTGCCAAAAGAATCCAGCTCCCAAGTGGCTGGTCTGTAGCCTCCAAATAAAGAATGAAATCAACAGGTCTCTATGTGGGGATCTTTTACTGGTATTTCTTTATTCAGGACTCTTTTTCTTATAATCCGATTAAGAAAGTTTATATGCTCAGGCCAATCAGTTGTATCCATTCATCATTCAAAGGGGAATTCTAGTAGGAAAAGGAAGTAACCTATGGGATTCCATCCTCAAAATTTCTGAACTAGGTAAATCATGAAGTAAATTGAACAGTAATGTCATAAAATAGTAATTTTATCTACTACAAATTGGCTTTATTTCTATAACCAACTTTTTCATTAGATTTGAAATGTACCAATGACTTGAAATCCAGGAGTGCAGAGAATAATGTGCTCACATTCTGAAATTTGCCAAAAGGGCGGCGCCTGTGGTTCAAGGAGTAAGGCGCCGACCCCATATGCCGGAGGTGGTGGGTTCAAACCCAGCCCCAGCCAAAAACCACAAAAAAAAAAAAAAAAAAAGCTGAAATTTGCCCAAAAAAAGCTGAAATTGGCCCAAAAATGAAAAAAATCAAAAGCTGTCCCCCATACTCTCCATGGATCACAAACTGACTTACCTACCAAATCTTGACCATTTCAGAGAGCAATGATAGTTCCTCCCATACAACCGTATTTTCAACTAAGTTTAACCACTATAGTGTGTTAAAAATATCTGTAATTATGTTATGTTTCTTCCATGTCACTTTTTGAATGTTGACATTTATTTGCTTCTCCCCAAAGACATATGATGCACATGTTTTAGTTTTTTGAAAGTTCAGTTAAAGGCTAAAGTGCAAAATGAAATACAAAATACCGACGGGAGGAAGACATATCAATGGTGTGTGCCACTATTACCTTCTTGGCTTTTATTCAACTTGATTCTTATTTGAATTAATACAAACAACCATGCTTGGATTTGGCTTTGATTTATCTTTGTATGCATTTGATCTGCAAGTAATCTCTTTATTGACAAGGAGACTGTAGGAGTCTGGTCTTTTGACAACGTCCCTGAAAGGTTTTTTAGAAATACAGAAGAGAGGTAATACCCTCCTGCAGTGTGTCTACCCTTTTTACCTCTCTTTGAATTTTTATTTTATCTTTTGAGACAGAGTCTCACTTTGTCACCCTCTGTAGAGTGCTATAAAGTCACAGCTCACAGCAACCTCAAACTCTTGGGCTCAAGTGATTCTCTTGCCTCAGCTTCCTGAATAGCTTTGACTTTTGTTGACTCCTCTATCTGCAGGTTCACTGCCTACTGGGTTTTAATTCATTTATCTCCCTGTAGACACAATGCTGTTCCTTATCTTCCCAGCTGATACCTAATGAAACCTATCTGTTTTCCCTCTATTACACCTGCAGCCAATCTGTAACATTTATAGGATGTAATAGCTGCTAAAGGAAGGAGAGAAAGAACCCCTGGGGTCTTCAGGTAACAAGCCAAACACAGGCCTGATCATGCAACAGAAGCAAGCATTTAAATCAGTGGTTCTCAACCTGTGGTTCACAACCCATAGGAACTGTATTAAAGGGCCGCAGCATTGGGAAGGTTGAGAACCACTGACTTAAATATTTCATAAAAGTTTTGGATCAATTGGGGAAGGATGTAATTCTGCAAATAAAAAAGTAGTAGCTACCCAGTTGTCAAACCTTCAATAAAACTACTGATTGGCACTAACTAAAAACAAACTACATCACCTTTATCAGAAACAAAGGCCTGGCAAAACCTAATTATCTTGTACCACTGGATTAGAAAGGAAATTATCTGTATCCTTTCTTCTAAATACAATTTTTGTATTTGTTGTTAATCCAGCATTTACGTATGAGCTCTGCATGCAAAATCGGATATGAGATTGAGCAAATCACTTAATCTCTTGGAGGTTCATTTTCCCTTGTGGGCAAAGAGGAGAGTAATATGGGACTTATCTCCTTCATGGAGTCGTAGAAATTCAGACAAAATCACAGCGAATCCCTGGAAACTCTTAAAGTATTATTCAAATGTCAGATAATACGTAATCATACCACTTTACAGCATCCTTAACTTCAGGCCCATAACTGCATATTTGCTACATGGTTTTTTTAAATTGTTTTTTTAAATATCAAGTGAATAATTAACATTTTTAAAAAGTGTACTGAGTAGTTAAAAAACAGAAATAAAGCATTAAAAGTATTATTTATGTAAGCACTCCAAATTGTATAAAAAAAATCAATACATTGTACCCCACAAATGCATAAATGTATTCATGATCTATGTGTATATGACTTAATGAAAGGGAAAAAAAGCATTATTTAGTTTAAAACTCCAGTGAAAAAAAAAATGAAAATAAGTTTATTCAAAAGTAAACGTTACTGCAAAACCCAAAGGATAATGCTAATAGATTTTGGGGGTTTTTTGTTTGTTTGTTTGTTTGAGAGTCTCACTATGCTGCCCTCAGTAGAGTGCTGTAACATCACAGCTCACAGAGACCTCAAATTCTTGGGCTCAAGACATTCTCCTGCCTCAGCCTCCAAGTAGTTGGGACTACAGGCGCTTGCCACAATGCCCAGCTATTTTTTTGTTGCAGTTGTCATTGTTGTTTAGCTGGCCCGGGCCGGGTTCAAATCCACCAACTTGGGTGTATGTGGCTAGCGCTGTAACTGCTGTGCTATGGGCACCAAGCCAATAGTTTTAATTTAATCTTGACTGAAAGGCAAACTCATCCATCACCCCATACTGTTTACCTTGTAAGAGTGTTGCAATCTGGAGAGATTTCTGAGATGGATGTTCTTTCAAAATGTCTAAAACAGTTCGACCTAAGCTATCCTTTATGTTGGCATCAATTCCTGAAAGAAAAGAAACACTCATTAAATAGATACCACTGGGGTGTCCTCAAATGATGCTATCATTGTAACAGCTCTAAGTTCAAAAACACACGGACCAAGCACTGCAAGTGGTTTAAATATATTAATTTTCACACACACACACACACACACAGATTTTAGCAAGAAAGAAGGTCAGGGCCTACTCCTACTAAAGATTAGGAACATTCCTGATAATGAATGAACTCTTAAGGGGTGTTGACCCATCATTGAGATTGCTTTCCAGGACCCTATTATGCATTTTGGGTTGTTTAACTAGTTGTTAATTGTTGCAGTTGACCAGGGCTGGGTTCAAACCCACCACCCTCGGTATATGGGGCCGGTGCCCTACTCCCTGAGCCATAGTACACTATCAAACTATAAAATATTGATTTAGAATGTGAATTCTTTTTTCTTCTTTTCTTTTCTTTGTTTTTTGCAGTTGTTGGCTGGGACCAGGTTTGAACCTGCCACCTCCATTATATGAGGCTGGCGCCCTACTCCTTGAGCCACAGATGCCACCCTAGAATGTGAATTCTTAAATTATCATGGTCATATGGTTTATAGATTCTATATAGTATGGTAAAAATATTTAATTAATAAGTATGTATCATGTAACATAAGAATAGACTTAGAATATCTGAATATTCACAAAAATTGAAAAAGCATGATTACTCTGAACTATTATCTACATAATATTTGTCCAAATACAAAGTCATGATATTTATTTACGCAAGATTCTGTCCAATGTCGGTCACGCTCATTGTCTTCCTGGTGAACAAACCTACGGAGCTGTGTGTATGAAACACCTTCGTTATGATTTTAGTTCTGAAAATATTTTACTAAAGAATTTATTTTAATGTAGCAGATAGCTTTTCACTGCCTCGTGATTCTTTATTTTTCTTTAGTTTTTCTCCAAATTGCTTACAAACTTTCTGAACACCTAACTGCGATCAAAGCCAGTTTACAAGTTCTGGTCGCAAATGTTAGTTCATCATACGATGATTAAATATGTACTTGAATTTGTATCAGGAAGTATACTTAGCCATATTCCACTGGTTTCTTCACATCATTTATTGTCTCACTGCGTTGCATGTCAATGTTAAATATACTTGAAATTTTAACTTTGTATAAGCATAATCCAATCGTTTTCCAGTGTTTTTCATTTTATGTTTTTTTACAGAAGAAAATGAACACAATATAGTCCATAATATGAAAAACTCACATCAATTCTTTACAAGTACGAATTTTTTTTTTAAATTTCAGAATATGAGGGGATGCCTGATTAGGTTACAGGGTCTGCATTGCTTGGGTAAAGTTCAAGTTGTAGTTGAGCCCTTCACCCAAGTGTGAATTTGGACTCACGCCTGTTGATCTTCAAAAACAGTCTGACCTCAGTTCAATTTTGTTCATTTCAATCACAATATACACATGAAGACAAATGTCTACTTTACTGTTCCTTCAAAGCACTTTTTTTAAAACCTTCCCTTTAAAATAAGTCACAGTAAACTACAAACAATAGTAGTAACTAGAAGAATTTACCTCAAGGGTAATTGATGAAGTAACTAGAAGAATTCACATCAAGGGACAGGAAGTCAAATCTCTGTTTACCATAGTTCACAGTATAAAAACCTAAGGAAAGGGTGGCCCCTGTGGCTCAATGAGTAGGGCGCAGGTCGCATATACCAGAGGTAGCGGCCCTGGCCCTGGCCAAAAAAAAAAAAAAAAAAAAAAAAAGAGAAGATTAATATTAAAAAAAAAAACCTAAGGTAAAACATGTTCCTTAATAAACCAAGCAATTGTCATAACTTCTCAGGGGTCAATACCTCCCTCTTACAGAAGGCAGAGATCTCTCTTCCCTTTTAGTAGTTTCTCTAGTGTATTTAAATATAATTTAAATATATAAAATTGTAATTTCCAAAAGCTTTTTACCAAAACCTCTATTGAGTAAAAGAAGGTGCACTGTTATATCAATTTTACCTAAACCCTGAAGCTCAATTCTACATAATATGAATAAACATCTGCAATTTGGAGTGAAGGAAAGAAGCGTGATTTGTGACGAGAACTGTGTCATTTTCCTTTGTCTACTCCTGAACCAGAAATAGTATTTGGCAAGATAAGCCCCACGGAGGATCACAAGAGTTACCTGTTTCTAACAAAATTCGTACAACATCCACCTTTCCAAACAAAGCTGCTTCGTGAAGTGCACTCCCCTTTTCTGTCTGGAAAAAAAGAAAGAAAGAAAGAAAAAAGGGGAAAAAAGCAGAGTTGCATTTGGAATACTTACAAGTTAAAAAATTCGGTTATTTTATGTATTGTCGCGCATTTTCTGTAATCTCGGTGGTCCCTCACAGAAAAGTCGTATAAAGAAGAAAGTCTCCAAAGCCAAAGGCTTAGGTTTGGGAAACCCCTCTGTTCTGAATAGCTGCGTGACCTTGCTAATAACCACTCACCTCCTCTCTGCCTTGGCTGTCTTTGAGTATGAAATAAGAATTGTAATGCCTCCCTCATAAGGCTTTTGTGATTGTTCAACAAGCATACATTTATTAGACACCAATTACATGCCAGGAATTGGTGAAAGATGTTCTGAGGTGTGGAAATATCACCCTGGCCCTCATATATTCATCCTCTATTAGAAGAAACAGGTATAGAAATAGAGATGCTCCTAGACTCACCACGGGGTTACATCTGGCTTAAACCCACCATAATGGAGGGAGAGTATCTGGCAGGATCTCACCTAACGTACACAATGCAAGGGTACATTTCAAAACAACTAAGAGTATGGATGGGTGGAGGGAGGCTGATTGGAGGGATCACCTCTATGGTTTATCTCACAAGGGTACAAGTGACTCTTTCTAAGAGTAGAATCTAAACGTCTTAACACAATAACTAAGAAAATGACATGAAGGCTAAGTCAACCAGTTTGATGAAAATATTTCAAATTGTATACGAAAACACCACACTGTACCCCATGAATGCATTAATGTACACAGCTATGATTTAATAAAAAAATAAATAAATAAACAACTAAGAGTATATTATAAATGTCTTACCACAAAAATAAGTAAGGGGATGGTTATGCTAATTAGTTCGATTTAAACATTCCACATTGTATATCACATCATCATATTGTACCCCATAAATGTATAGTTAAGATTAAATAAAGAAAAAAATCCCACCCTAAGATGATAATGCATTTAAGACCCCTACAGAGAGCAAAGATATGAGAGCAAAGATATCTTTGCAAAGCTAGATATCTTTGCCAAGCCTACTTTACACATTCTCATAACACTTTCATTACTACAGGGGGGCAAATCATCTAACACAAAACCTATTTACGATAAAGTGTAAAATTATCTCATGTATCACATATCCCTATCCTGGAGAAAGACTGAAATTCAAAATTCGAAGAACACTGAAATTGTGACAGCTTCATGCTGCTAAGTCAAATCATTATAATTTAGGACTGTCTACAAATATTCATGATAAATAAAATCTAAGCAATTTATTGTAGCCATAAAAAAGACTGAAATTCCATCGTTCACAGCAACGTGGGTGAGCCTGGAGGATCTCGGGCTAAGTGAAACAGCCACAGAAAGAGAAATGCATGTTCTCGCTTATTTGTGGGAGCTAAAGACATGAGCCCCGGGAAGTAGAGAGTAGAGTTACAGTTACTAAAGAATGGAGAGGGTTGGGGGAAGGGAGGATAGCCAGGGGGTGGTTAATGAATACAAGGTTGCACCTAGAAAAAAAGAGTAACTATCCTCTAGCCCTGAAGGGTGAGTACAGCCAACAGTAATTTATTGCATATTTTCAAACAGCTAGAAGAGAACACTCTGAATGCTTCCAATACAAAGAAACAGTAAATACTTGAGGCCAGATGCTAATTACCCTGGCTTGGTCACTGCCTGTTGTAGGTAAGTATGGCGACATCACTCCATGCCCCCAAATGTATATGATTATCATGTATCAATTAAAATGATAATAAGTTTACTTTAATGTATAAACAAAAAACAACTTAATGCATCTTACCAAACCCAGATGGCTTTCTGGCTGCTTTTCTCTCCACCAGTCCTGCCACACGCCCTCTGCCAGCCCCCAGACCCTGTGCTCCAGGCCTGCTGGCCTCTCTGCTGTCAGGGTCATTCTCTGTTTCCTTTCCCAGGGGTCCCCACGTCCAGTCCCTCTGCCGGGCTGATTCTAACCCCCAGCCCTCTCCATCCACCATTACATCTAGTTAATCTGCATGAATCGGATCACCTGGGAAGCTTGTTAAAGCACAGACTTCTGGGCCTCTTCCCCAGAGATTGATTCAGGAGCCTGAGATGAAGCCTGAAAATTTCTCTTTCTAACAAGAGGGGCTAAACTCTAAAGAGTTTACTTTGAGAACCTCTGACCTACACTGTAGGCCAAATCTTAGCTTACCGTAATTTCACGTAGGAACGCATCTCTGGCCCTGGAAGTACAGAGCTTTTCCTGTGTGTTCTAAACCTATCTCTATTTTCCTTATCACAGCCCTCATGCTGGCACCCTACAGCTGTACGTGATTGTCAATTCCCCATAACAAACTGTAAGTTCAGGGGAAATGCAGGTCTCATCTATTTTTTTTTTCACCATTGTATCCACAATGCCTAGCAAAGTACTTTAAAAATGTAGATGTTCAGGGATTCTTTTGAGAGCAAAAGGTGGAGGGAGGGAGGGAGAAACACAGGATGAAAAAAGACGCCACTTACTAGTACAAGATGAGATTGATTCTGCCTTGAGAAAGATCAAGGAAGATTTCAGAGAGGATATTTTTTAGCGCACAAATGTTAGAGTTTCCTTTGGGTTTTTTTTTCTTTTTCTTTCTTTTCTCTCAGGAATCTAACAAATGTGAGCGGGTTCTAAACATGTGCATGTATGATTTAAATCGAATAGTGTCAATATGACAATTTTGTCCCCTTGTACTAAAAGTGATCTCTAATGCGGGGTTTTAATCTTAATCTACAATAGAAATATCGTTATAAAATGATATCCGTGGTAAAGAATTCTTTACTAAAAGTTTGTTGTGTAACTAACCCAACCTAAAACAGTTTCTAAGCTCATTTAGAAGGAGGCTTGAGAGATACCAAATCTCTCTCAGTGTGTTTGGAATGTATCTTCAAGAAGGCAGGACTGGAATGGACTTATCATGTGACTGGCACAGTATGTACACGTACTAATAAAAATGGAAATAAATAATGGCATAAATATATAGCATCAAGCTGAAGGAAAAAAACCTGTAGATTTTACAAAAATATTTCAATGTGGGGCCTGAACATTATATTTTTTCCATTCCTTGAAAAAGCGGCTGCCCTGAAATCTCACTCTGCTCACTGGCCTTCTCTGCTTTTCAATCAACTTTCTACTTACTAATTCAATTGCTTCCACTTAGCACAGAATTTTGGACTTGATGTTGAAAAAACCCCTTCCTGGCATAGCATCCTTTATCCTAAAAAACAAGCTAAATAATATTTTTAATACAGGCAGAAAGGGGAAAGTAATGGGATTCCACAGAGCCTGGTGGGGGAAGAAAGTATAAATCCGTGGGGTTAGCAATGGAACAGGTATTTGGTCCAGGGAATCTGCCAGTGCTCCCGGGAGCTTTAACCAACCACTTGCAGTATGAATGGAGCAGGTAGATCAGTGACTCCTGAAAACCCCTAAAAACTCCAAAGAACAACATCCTCAGTGATGTAGAGGACGCCAAGAGTCAGGTGACCTCTGAGCAAGATGATTTACAGCTGAGGGGTGGACTCTCGGGCAACTCCTCTACAGGAGCTCCTAATGGAGAAAAAGCGCGAGCCTCCAGCACGAAGTCTTTGTTAATTACTCCCCTCACCTGTGTTGTTCTCTTTCAATAAAAGACTAGTCCGGAGGTTGCTCAGGGCCACCCTGCAAAGAAGGGCTAGCCTGCCTCCCTCAAGCTTGCACTTCTAATCCTCGTCATGCCTGGTTCCTTCCTGCAGTGAGCGAGACCAGGGCCATGGGGGACCGTCCGGTCACCACACAGTGAAAATTAAAAAAGAAAAGAGAAAGGAAAGAAGGAAAGGAAAGAAAGACAAACACATTGCACAGAGGAAAAAACAAGGTATATCTTGACCTTAAGCCCCAAGTGGTAGAGTGTAAAAGACATAAATCCCCCTAAGAATTCCTAAACAGGATTCTACACTCAGATGGGGACTGTGGAGCAAAAAACATGCAACTCTGTAAACTCCAGATCTGAGCCAAATGCAGCATCCAGGGGTCCTGGCTGGGTTTATAGGACTACTGGAAGTTACATGTATAAACTCTTAGCAGAAGCAGATGTAAATCCTCTCTGAAAAAGATATGCTTTAAGCTCCAGCTTCCAAGAGTTTCAACAGACAAAGCTCTAAGAAATGCAAATTAAAAATTAGAAATTGTCAATTGTCACAATTGGCCAGATATAAAATGAGCCAATACTTCTAGAAATGGAAAATACAATATTTTAAGCGAATGGGTTTAATAACATACATGCATATGATACAGCTAAAGAAAAGGGTATTGAACCAGATGATAGATTTTTGAAGTCCATAAGGCAATACAAAGAAATAAGATGGAAAATGTGAAATACAAAATAGAATAAGAAGATTCAACATGTCGAATCAGAGTTCTAGAAGCTGATGATAGAGGTAAGTAATAGTCAATGCCTAAGGACTTGATTTCCAGAATTGATAAGATCAATAGTAAGTTCCAGGACCACAAAGCAAGTTAAGTGTAATGGATATATACTGGACGTGTCATAATGAAACTACTAAACACCTAAGATAAAGATAATAAAAGTACCCGAAGAGAAAAAAAAAATTGTCTAAAAAGAAGTCATCATTAGATCAACAGCTGACTTCTCAGTTAAAATAATAATAATAAATCCTGGAAAAATTATATCTTCATGTTGTTAAGAGAAAGTTGCTTTCAACCTAGCCTTCTATATCCAGCCAAACTGTCTTCAAAGAGGAGGGCAAAATAAAAACATTTTCAGGCAGATTAAAAATGAGGGGTCACTACAGACCCTAACTGAAAGAACTTCTATAATTTTTTTTTTTTTTTTGAGACGGAGCCTCAAGCTATCCCCCTGGGTAGAG